CCACCCCCTCCTCCTCAAACGGCCAAACCCACTTGGTTACCCGTCCAATCACACTCCATTCCCATGCCTACGTCTCCGCCTCCTCCACTGCCTCCCTCGGTTCCTGCAATCTCACTTCCTGACAGATCGTCTGGGGTCTTCTACCCTCCGCCCCCTCCACCGCCTCCATCATTCCCTCTGTCCTCGCTCCCTGACAGACCATCTGGGGTCTTCTACCCTCCGCCCCCTCCACCGCCTCCATCATTTTCTCTGTCCTCGCTCCCTGACAGGTCATCTGGAGTCTTCTATCCTCCACCCCCTCCACCTCCTCCATCAGTCCCTCCATCCTCTTTCCCTGATAGGTCATTTGGGGTCTTCTACCCTCCACCACCTCCGTCCTCACTCTCTAACAGATCATCTGGAGTCTTCTTCCCTCGGCCCCCTTCTCCGGGGCCATTAGAAATGAAGGACAGTTCTTTAGGGCCTCCTCCCCCACCTCCTCCTCCTCTTCCTGCTTCGTTTGCATGCAGTCACCCCTCCTCAGCAACGCCTCCGCTACCTCAGAAAGTACCTCCCATGCCTTCACCCACATACAGGCCCAGCGTACCACCTTTGCCACCGTCTTACCCCTGTACTGCCCCCAGTAGACGACCTCCTGCAGTGCCACGTTTTGCAGGTATATGACTAATGACCTTAGTTATATATATATTATATATTAAAATATTCCTGTGATGGCAAAGCTGATTTTTCAGCAGCCATTACTCCAGTCTTCAGTAGTATCACATGATCTTTCAGAAATCATTCTAATATGCTGATTTGCTGCTGCAAGAAATATTATTATTAATGTTGAAGACAGTTGTGCTGCTTAATATTTATGTGGAAATGTGTTCTTTTAATAAGGATTCACTGATGAATAGAAAGTTTAAAAGAACAGCATTTACTTAAATAGAAATATTTGTAACATTATAAATGTCTTTACTGTCACTTCTGATCAATTTAATGCATCCTTGCTGAACATTTCTTTTAAAAGTGCTATTACTATACAATAATGCAAGATTCCATCTGCTAACATGAGTTCATCTGGAGTCTTCTATCCTCCACCCCCTCCACCTCCTCCATCAGTCCCTCCATCCTCTTTCCCTGATAGGTCATTTGGGGTCTTCTACCCTCCACCACCTCCGTCCTCACTCTCTAACAGATCATCTGGAGTCTTCTTCCCTCGGCCCCCTTCTCCGGGGCCATTAGAAATGAAGGACAGTTCTTTAGGGCCTCCTCCCCCACCTCCTCCTCCTCTTCCTGCTTCGTTTGCATGCAGTCACCCCTCCTCAGCAACGCCTCCGCTACCTCAGAAAGTACCTCCCATGCCTTCACCCACATACAGGCCCAGCGTACCACCTTTGCCACCGTCTTACCCCTGTACTGCCCCCAGTAGACGACCTCCTGCAGTGCCACGTTTTGCAGGTATATGACTAATGACCTTAGTTATATATATATTATATATTAAAATATTCCTGTGATGGCAAAGCTGATTTTTCAGCAGCCATTACTCCAGTCTTCAGTAGTATCACATGATCTTTCAGAAATCATTCTAATATGCTGATTTGCTGCTGCAAGAAATATTATTATTAATGTTGAAGACAGTTGTGCTGCTTAATATTTATGTGGAAATGTGTTCTTTTAATAAGGATTCACTGATGAATAGAAAGTTTAAAAGAACAGCATTTACTTAAATAGAAATATTTGTAACATTATAAATGTCTTTACTGTCACTTCTGATCAATTTAATGCATCCTTGCTGAACATTTCTTTTAAAAGTGCTATTACTATACAATAATGCAAGATTCCATCTGCTAACATGAGTTAACTACATCAGTTAAAATTAACTAACATTGAAAAATACTTCAAAAGCATTGATTAATCTTAGTTAATATTAACTAATGGAACTTTATAAAACACTTTTGAATGGTAGTGTGTTTGGAAATATTATGTATAAATATTAGAAGAAAAACTAAAATGAAAACGTAACTGAGATGAACTAGTCAGTCATTTATTAAGATTTTTGAATTGACAGGTGCTCCACGGATGGCTCCACCCCCTGCTCCCCCTGCTCGGTCTCCTAACACTGAACTCTCCAGTAGGATCCCACCCCCTCCTCCTCTCCCACTGTCAGCTCCGCCCAGCTCAGTACGCAACGGACACCTGCACAGCTTAGGTGAGACTGCAGGCTGTCATTGATGATGAAGCTAAAGGTCTAAATGGGCTATAATTACCATCTGATGAACAGCAACAAGCAGTTACACTAGAAATGAACTACTGTGACAATATGATTTTCTGCATGTGTATTTGTATGTTTGTGAATGCGCATATGCAAACACTTTAATTTAACATAGCATTTTTTTTCCTTTCTTTGTCTGCTTTCCAGATGACTTTGAATCGAAGTTTCACTTCCATCCTATTGAGGACTTCCCCCCTCCTGAAGAGTTCAGGCCCTTCCCACGTACCTACCCCAGCAAAGAGAACAGAGGTACAACAACCTCTTTGTATGTGAGAGTGTATGCGAGGAAAGGTGAAGTTTCTGTTCAATGACAGTGCTCACAATGTTGCCTCTGTTCATTTAGACAGGCTTGAGGCAGATGATCTTATTTGTTTTATTTATTTATTTTTAAAAATATTTATACAATTGTAATATTGCCTTTGCTTTATACATAACTACATATATAAAGTAGCCTAAAATTAGAGTGGCAAAAAAGCAGGTGATAATAATCGATCATTCGTACGATGAGATTGGCGGCATACGAATGTTTCATGAATCACACGTGAACTCTGTCGTAAGTTGATTTGTGCGCACGGATCTGCGCTGGTTTCTACGTTAGATTGATATTTTATTTTATTTTATTGAGATTTTATGTTATATTTTTGTTCAACCCCTTGAATTAAAGCTTAAAGTCTGCACTTCAATCACGTCTTGATTGTTTTATTTCAAATCCATTGTAGTGATGTATAAAGGCAAAAGCACAGAATACTTCCGGACCTGACTGTATATGTATAATATATACCTTAATCATATTTTTACACTAATGCTAACCATAAAATCAGATTTAAAATTTAGGTTTATTTAAAAAAACTCACTTTTTCAACTTTAGTTAGTCTGTAATGTTGCTGTTTGAGCATAAAAAAGATCTGCAAAGTTACTGCCAATCACAACACACACTGGCCCAGCTAACCAATCACAGCACATTTCGTATTTCAGAAGGTGGGCTTTCATTTGATACAGGAACTATTCGAGCCATTCATGCCAGACTGGGGAGAGAGGTGTTGTAATAATGTAAAATATGTGAAAAATAATGTGTTTTTCGACAAACCTAGTATGAGAGCCTGTTCTAGTACACACCCAAAACAAAATCAAGACTTTGTAAAAAAGCATAATAGGACCCCTTTAAGACTAAATCTAACCCTAGAATCTGAATGGTGTATTGCAGTGTGATCCAGGAACATGATCTACTTGGTGAAATCACAGTAAGCATAATGATAATGTATGTATTTGCAGAACCTAAAGTGAACATTTACTTAAATAGAAATATTTGTAACATTATAAATGTCTTTACTGTCACTTCTGATCAATTTAATGCATCCTTGCTGAACATTTCTTTTAAAAGTGCTATTACTATACAATAATGCAAGATTCCATCTGCTAACATGAGTTAACTACATCAGTTAAAATTAACTAACATTGAAAAATACTTCAAAAGCATTGATTAATCTTAGTTAATATTAACTAATGGAACTTTATAAAACACTTTTGAATGGTAGTGTGTTTGGAAATATTATGTATAAATATTAGAAGAAAAACTAAAATGAAAACGTAACTGAGATGAACTAGTCAGTCATTTATTAAGATTTTTGAATTGACAGGTGCTCCACGGATGGCTCCACCCCCTGCTCCCCCTGCTCGGTCTCCTAACACTGAACTCTCCAGTAGGATCCCACCCCCTCCTCCTCTCCCACTGTCAGCTCCGCCCAGCTCAGTACGCAACGGACACCTGCACAGCTTAGGTGAGACTGCAGGCTGTCATTGATATGGTAAGGGGCATGACATTTCCCGACCAGGCGTCGAGTGCTGCCAATCACAACACACACTGGCCCAGCTAACCAATCACAGCACATTTCGTATTTCAGAAGGCGGGCCTTCATTTGATACAGGAACTATTCGAGCCATTCATGCCAGACTGGGGAGAGAGGTGTTGTAATAATGTAAAATATGTGAAAAATAATGTGTTTTTCGACAAACCTAGTATGAGAGCCTGTTCTAGTACACACCCAAAACAAAATCAAGACTTTGTAAAAAAGCATAATAGGACCCCTTTAAGACTAAATCTAACCCTAGAATCTGAATGGTGTATTGCAGTGTGATCCAGGAACATGATCTACTTGGTGAAATCACAGTAAGCATAATGATAATGTATGTATTTGCAGAACCTAAAGTGAACAGTGTGGATGACAGTGGAAGAAATGTGGCTGCTGGAAACTCTACAAACACAGCAGGATCTGCTCCATCTGCAGTGGGTCCAACTCTGGGTGGACTATTTGCTGGGGGATTTCCTGTACTCAAACCAGTCGGACAAAGAGACAAGCAGCCACATCACAACCCAGGTATTGAAGTCAGACCTGTTTATTCTCATGCTTTGTATTTTTTCAGTGCTGGACAAATTTTGAATGACTTTTTGATATGGCTTGTTTGTGTTTCAGTGTCTCGCTCCGGCTCTACCGCCAGCCTGAAGCAGCCTCTCTGGAACCCTCCATCACAGGGAGACGGGTTCAGAGGAAGCGCCCCTGATCTTTCCCCCTCCCACAAACCTTTGGAAAGAGCCTCCTCACTGTCTAAAACTCGGCCTATTTCCTCATACACAGCCCCTCCCTCCCCAAGCCAAACTACACATCCTTCTTTCAAACTGTCCTCTACTCCACCTTCCTCTGCCCCTCCACCTCCTCCTCAGGAGCGGCCCAATAAATTCTAATATGCTGATTTGCTGCTGCAAGAAATATTATTATTAATGTTGAAGACAGTTGTGCTGCTTAATATTTATGTGGAAATGTGTTCTTTTAATAAGGATTCACTGATGAATAGAAAGTTTAAAAGAACAGCATTTACTTAAATAGAAATATTTGTAACATTATAAATGTCTTTACTGTCACTTCTGATCAATTTAATGCATCCTTGCTGAACATTTCTTTTAAAAGTGCTATTACTATACAATAATGCAAGATTCCATCTGCTAACATGAGTTAACTACATCAGTTAAAATTAACTAACATTGAAAAATACTTCAAAAGCATTGATTAATCTTAGTTAATATTAACTAATGGAACTTTATAAAACACTTTTGAATGGTAGTGTGTTTGGAAATATTATGTATAAATATTAGAAGAAAAACTAAAATGAAAACGTAACTGAGATGAACTAGTCAGTCATTTATTAAGATTTTTGAATTGACAGGTGCTCCACGGATGGCTCCACCCCCTGCTCCCCCTGCTCGGTCTCCTAACACTGAACTCTCCAGTAGGATCCCACCCCCTCCTCCTCTCCCACTGTCAGCTCCGCCCAGCTCAGTACGCAACGGACACCTGCACAGCTTAGGTGAGACTGCAGGCTGTCATTGATGATGAAGCTAAAGGTCTAAATGGGCTATAATTACCATCTGATGAACAGCAACAAGCAGTTACACTAGAAATGAACTACTGTGACAATATGATTTTCTGCATGTGTATTTGTATGTTTGTGAATGCGCATATGCAAACACTTTAATTTAACATAGCATTTTTTTTCCTTTCTTTGTCTGCTTTCCAGATGACTTTGAATCGAAGTTTCACTTCCATCCTATTGAGGACTTCCCCCCTCCTGAAGAGTTCAGGCCCTTCCCACGTACCTACCCCAGCAAGGAGAACAGAGGTACAACAACCTCTTTGTATGTGAGAGTGTATGCGAGGAAAGGTGAAGTTTCTGTTCAATGACAGTGCTCACAATGTTGCCTCTGTTCATTTAGACAGGCTTGAGGCAGATGATCTTATTTGTTTTATTTATTTATTTTTAAAAATATTTATACAATTGTAATATTGCCTTTGCTTTATACATAACTACATATATAAAGTAGCCTAAAATTAGAGTGGCAAAAAAGCAGGTGATAATAGGATGAGAGAAGTTTTCATAACAATTCCTGAATATATTTAGTATCAATATATCATAGTGTTTGATTTGAAAGCAGGTACTTGGCTATGCCACAGCGGTTGTCGTCCATACAGGTCTAAAATAATCTGAATATAAGCACTTATTACAATACCATAGTGATTCAGGATAAGACAAAAATTGTAATTGTAATAATATTTCACATTATTTCTGTTTTTACTGTATTTTTGATAAAAACAAATACAGACTTGGTGAACATTAGAGACTGAAAACATCTTACCAACCGCAAACTTTTGAATGGTGGTGTATACTGTCTACAAGTCTCTGTTTCAATGTAAACAGTTTGTTTCAGGATCCAGTTATTATCAGATCCAGGATGAAACAATTGTGCATACAAAACTGAAAATAGATAGTTTTATCAGTTCCTCAGTTGATTGGTTTCATTTAAAAACAAGAAAACACAAACTAATTCTGGAATTACCTGTCTTATTGAAAATGAACTCTTCCTGTTTTGTTTTCATAGTCAACCCACAACCTCCTGCCATGAGGACTCATTTAAGATGAAATGGGACAATATGAAGTTTGGTGCTAACCTTTTTGCAGGACATATTTTAAGCATCATCCTCATCGTCAGTGAAGAACAGCAGACAAATCTGTAGGTCAAACCAACTCACTCAAGCACCACTTTATCAATCACAACTGCATTATCTGTGAAAACATTCTAGTTTGATGTAAAAAAAAATAAATAAATAATAGTTTTTTTTTGGTCATCCACATTTCAAGAAAGAGTTTCCCTATTACAGATGCAGCCATGTTAAAACCCCTGATTCTTATAAAAAGTGTTTATCTATCTAATTAATTTTCTTCAGTCAATAATAAGTGTTTTAACATTTAATATGTTTCTGGAACAAATATATTATGCCTATTAAATTTGCTTATCATACCTGACAAGGCTTTTATTAATTATCCTATCAGCTTTTAACATACCCTGAATGGACTAAAAGGGCAAATTATTAGACGACTAACAGAATAAAAATGAGAAAAAAATGGAGATTAAAACATGGCTTAACAAAATATGGCAAAAGGAAAGAGTGTTAAATCTGTGCATACAGATTAGAGAAGTCTTGCAGTCATTACTGTTTCAAATAAAGGGCATCAGTTTTTGTAAAATGGAAGAAAGTTAACCACTAAGAGTGAAACCGTGTTTTAGGCTTAAGGTGAGCAGAATAAATGTTTGAAATGGATGAAACTATAAATGGAAAAGTAAATGAAGTTACATTTCTAAAACTAACAAGTGAGTTTATTATACAGTATTGTCCTGTTTCTGATTCTTGTGGCTGCTGGAGCCCTTTGTTACTAACTCTTCATCTAACTCATCAAATCAAGACTTTCTAATACACCAAAGAAAAAATACTCTTTGTTTTTCCTCATTCTAAGTTTCATTTTTAAATCTATCTGTATTTGAAATCTGTGCCAGTATGAAATGCTGTATTATAGCTCTGAATCAAGAGGAAGGACACATGTGAGACACTGGGAAACAGTGCCACCCACTGGACATGCTTGCAATTTATTGCTCTGACTGAATAAATCATCATTTAACCCAAATAAACATTACAACATGTTTCTGTGAAAAATAATCAAGCATATAATTATTAGCTATCTTTTCATAAAAGTTTGGTTCAATGAATAAATAAATACAATAAATACCTGTTTTTACAGTACATGCTTTACAAGGCACATACCAGCAAAATACTGCTTAGTCGCTTGGGAACAAGCTCATGATACATATACAGAAACATGCACAGACCTAATCATGCATTTGCAATACCAAACAAATAAATAAGTTTCATATAAACATATTATACATTCATTTAAATAATAATGACTTTTCATTACACAACTCCTACAACATTCATCCACCAGCTCAGCTGCCATTCAAAACATACTAGCAGCATCAACAAGCAGTACTACTAATAGTACCGTACCCACTGAGTTGAACCTTATAACGTGTGTGTGTGTCTGGAGTGTGAGGGAGGCGATGGAGACAGAAACAGCCAAATCCTCTCAGATCATCTGTTAAATACTTTTGATCTCAGCAGGCTCCCCCTCATATCTGTGTGTGTGTGTGTGTGTGTGTCAGTGTGAATGTGTGTGTCAGTGTGAATGTGTGACTTTTGTAGGCCTCAGGTCCTGTATTTACAGCCGGTTGAGTCGATGAAACAGGAGTCGGTGCACCTGAGCTGCCCAAAGGTGCTATTTGTACAAAAAGATAAGAGAGAGCCCTTAAACATCCATCATATTGGGTGTTGACATGAAATACTTTTTGGAGGCTGACATGTCCTGCGGCGTGACATGCTGTTCTCCATCTAAAACTATTTTAAAAGGATTTTGTTTTTCTATAATTGATATGCATACTGCTGTTATTACCTCATATTAATTGGGAAATATTTGTACTTTTAATTTTATAGTTACACCCTGGACCATGTAAAATAAATTAGAGAAGGCAAAAGGATTAAGTGTTATTAAAAAAAGATATTATAAAAAGATATTAAAAATTATATAAAAAATAAAAATTATTATAAAGAATAAATTTAAATAAATAGTTGTTAAACATTAAAATACAAATCATAAAATAATTAAAATGACATAACCTGATATGCCGTACTCCATGTTAAACTATTTTAAAAGGATTTTGCTTTTCTATAATTGACGTGCATACTGCTGTTATTAAATATTATAATATATCATATTAACTGAGAAATATTTGTACTTTTAATTTTTTTATAGTTACACCCAGAGCCATGTAAAAAAAATTAGTGAAGGCAAAAAGATTAAGTGTTATTTTTTTTAAATATTACAATTCAATATAATTACATATTAAAATAATAATAATTAAATATAAAATAATTAAACAATAATAATAATAAAGTTCAGCTTCACATTTCTGAAAAGTCTACCCAAATCCAACCATTTTAAATATGCACATGAATGTGTGTGTGTGTGTGTGTGTGTGTGTGTGTGTGTGCTTGTGTTGTGGTGTGCATACCCGGGCAGATATGATTTGCAGGTCTGGTAGCCAAAGTCTTTCCCGTCACACTCCTCCACACCCTCATTACGATATCCATCGCCACAGTACGCCTTTTTACAGCCTACACACAGAGACAGAGATAAAGAACAGGAAAGAGATAGAGGTGGAGTGAGTGAAGAGTGAAGAGAAAGAGGATTGATAAGACTAATGAATGACCAACAGAATACTCCAAGAAAATATGAGTGCTGATTTTCTGTATAAATCGAAATAATCCTCAAAACAGGATATATTTACCACTAATTAATTTTATGTTTAGGCATTTTCATATATTCAGAATGTGGTTGTCTCTATGATCATGTGACTCACCTACGCAGTCATCCGTAACAACCTTGTTTCCGTCGTCGCATTCTTCCCCGTTGAGTTCCTGCACCTCTCCATCACCGCAGACTCCATTCCCATCCCTCATCCTCTCAGTCGCCTGGAGCAGCATCAGCTAAAATACAAATAACATGCTCCTGTTCCCAAAATACTAGTATGGCTGCATGTTTCATAGCAGTGTATTCAAAATGACCCTGTACCTGAATGGGCTTCCATCCATTTTCATCCCTGAAGTAAAGAGACCTCTGATCCTTCCTGAAGGCAAGTGCGTTATCTTCCTGGAGACCTTTTAGCTCTTCCTCACTGCCCACAACGAATATCTGACCAGGAAACACAAACTGATCAAGAAGCAGATATAAACACTGAACGAACAGGCTTATTGATTCCATTATAAACACGCAAATTAAATTTGCTCTTATGTCAAATTTGGATTGTTGAGTGGGGACAATGGGCCTCATTTATCAATCTAACGTAGAAACCAGCGCAGATCCGTGCGCACAAATCAGTTTACGACAGAGTTCACGTGTGATTCATGAAACATTCGTATGCCGCCAATCTCATCGTACGAATGATCGATCGCACGCTGATAAATGTGGCGGCAGAAAACAATAGACATTTGAATATCACGCCCCTAAAAACACCCTGGTTTAGAAGCCTAGCCCCTACAGTTTACGACACGGAGAAACGAAACCCGGCCAAAAAGAGGAAGTAATCTCGTGAAAGACAAATTGATTTTACTCCTAAAACACCCGTTAACCTTGTAGGCCTAATTGCAAACAAATAGGTTACATTAATATATGTAATTTATATGTATATTAAAATACTGGTAATTATAAACAGCCTATTTAGTTCCCCTCACTCTACAACAAATATTTTAAATTTAACGGTATTCAGAACAGAACAAGAATGAAAAATAAGTAGTTATAAAATTATATTTTAAACTGTAAAATAAAACACAAATTAGGCTATAGTGGCATTCATTATAAACAGCATACAAATATCAAGCAAACTGAAACGGCATTGGGCTCACGCAGCCTGTCTCATACCACAAGAATCCAAATGTTTATATTTTTGCAACATTTGTTTGCATATTCATTATGTAGCCTAAACATGGCTTTATACTTCAGTCATGTTCTAATATCCGTGTAAAATCACATGCGCAAGTCAGGCAACGCTAGAACTAATGTTGTTTGTGTGTGCGTGAGGCGCCTGTGCGATCAGAAGGATTAAATCAAATAAAGATATAAAGAAAAGAAATGAAATGCATTAAGAGAAAACGACCATACGCCCAATTTTCTGTCGTACGTTCGTTTCGTAAATGAGGCCCAATGTGTGTACATCAGGTTACCCAGAATGATAATAAAACCCAAAATCCGCACAATGAAAACAGCTCAATTAAGGGCCTAAATAATATGTTAGCAGGCAGTGGAATGGGGGAAGGTCTCTTTATTATTTTACAATAAATTATTTAACATTTACTATTTATCATTTACCTTTTAGCTTACTTGTATTTAGTTGTGATTCATTCTGGTGTGTAGTGCAAATAGATCAAATTAAGTTTCTTACTGAATATCTTTCACCTCACATTACAGAAGTAACATTCACATTATCATATATAAACTATAGAAGTAAATGGGAAGTCCTCAGCATAGAGAGCGTGTGTCTTACCGCTGGAACTTTGTCATATTTGTTACGGTGTTGTAACGGGGCACTGGCTGGACTGAGAGAAGGGAAGCTGCAGTCGCAGACTCCAGGAAGACCGGGCAATCCCTTCTCACCTTTTTCTCCAACTACAAACAGCCCTGATCATCATGAGATACCAACAAACAAAAGCATTTAGATTTCATTAGACATCGCTGTTAAGCTAGAACAGAAATGCACTGATTTACTTATCAAAAACTCTGCTTAAAAGACCAGACCGTTCAAAACCTTACTTCGGATCTGCAGACATCCTCATAGGTGATTCAGAAATAAATTGTGTGCATATATGGTATCTCACCTGATGCAGGTACCCCAGGAGGTCCTGGGTGGCCCCTGGGTCCAGGTGGACCAGTGGGACCCACTGGCCCTGGAAAACCTCTGTCTCCATCAGGCCCCTACGCCAGAATGCATAAATAATTTAGCTAAACCCATTGACTCATCTACACCAACAAAACCAATAAAACCTCATCAATATTTACATATATAAAGTTTATATACATATACAGTACGTTTAAAAGTTTATGTTCTTATGCTCACCAAGGCTGCATTTATTTGATCAAAAATGCAGTAATAGTAATATTGTGTAATATTATTATAAAGGTATTTAAAATATTTTAAAAAGTATTTTTCCTGTGAAGGCAAAGCTGAATTTTCAGCAGTCATTACCCCAGTCTTCAGTGTCACATGATTCTTCAGTAACCATTATAATATGCTGATTTAGTGCTCAAAAAGCATTTCTTGTAATTAATATAAAATAGTTGTGCTGCTTACAATTTTTGTGTAAACTGTTATATTTTTATTCAGGATTTTTTTAAAATTGGCAATTGAAATAAAAATATTTTGTAACAATAATAAATGTCCTTAAAGTCACTTTTGATCAATTTAAACCATCTTTGCTGAATGAAAGTATTAAAAAAATATTACTGACCCCAAACTTTTACACAGTTGTGTGTGTGTGTATATATATATATATATATATATATATATATAAGTCAATGCATCAAACTCGTTGCAGGTGCTGAAATGACATTCAAGTCCGAGGCCTGTGCAGTGATCTAAGGAACCTTAAATGTGTATGTGTCACAGCGCTGAGCTGATTGATAGTAGGAATCTTTGCTGGGTACAGCCTACGGTAACAGTCCTGGTATTTCCCAGCAGTTAGTTAAGACATTCCCAGGAAGTGCCTATCCGCAGTGTAATACAAGAGTTTGGAAACATGAGCAGCAGGGCTGGACCCAACATCAGAGGCCCTGCTGGTCCAAATCCAGCTACCAGCACGGTGAGCTTTTCAGCTCCTAAGGTTACTTACGAAATGGCACACACACACACACACACTCAGCCACAGACTGACCCCCTGACTGGGCGGGACAGGTTAACCGTGCGAGTATGCAGGTTTTAAATATGCCCGCAGCTTCTTCCGCCAATAATCCACTCCCTTATCATCACTCAGAGACTCAAGGTCTCAGTATCAGCACAGACTGGAGCTCTGATGTAGAGCAGAATGCTGTGTGTCCTCACCTGTTTGCCTCTCTTGCCTGGTCGTCCTGTAGGGCCACGTTTCCCTGGGACACCAGACTCACCCTTGGGTCCCATTTCACCCTGGGGGAGTGACGAAGAGGGGGAGGTTCAGAGAGAAGGACCGAGTCAGATCAGTGACATCCAAAACATATTAGCATTACATGCATGAGATTGATTTTAATGGTTAAAATGTCACATCATACCTTCTGTCCCAGCATCCCAGGCAGTCCATTTGCTCCCTAAAGTGAGCAGACCAGATACACAAGTGAATATGATTGAGTGCCTATACATTTCAATTCTACATATTCAATTCATTCATTTTAAGCATGTTGCTACTGAGTTACTAGGGTTTTCTGTGTAGGTGGTTGATGGCGTGTTCCAAGAATTTTAGCATGTTGCGTTTTTTCTAGGGGAAACACCATTAATAAGGAACCCTAATGTCTAGAAACTGATTTCTAGTCTCTAACCTTGTCTCCTTTTGGACCTGCAGGTCCAGAATCCCCCCGTGCTCCCTGAAACCATAACAATATGTACAGAGAGTTATGTAATATAAAGTTCAGTCCCATAACTTTACAAAGGGAAAGAAACATTTAGGCTGATTTTAACAAACATACAGTACCTTCTCACCCTTATTGCCTGGAAAGCCCTAATTGGACAGAGAAGGCAAGTATTATTTACCTTTTCTCATTAAGAGAAGACATAAAATGTTATTTATGAAATAAAAATCAAGGCACAACATTACTTTGACTCCATTACTTCAGTTGTACACCAGTTACACCTGGAGAACGTGACTCACTTTAGGTCCAGGTGATCCCCTCATTCCTGGCATTCCCATCAGCCCTGGGTCTCCTTTCTCTCCCTGCCAATGAGAAATGAACTTTTCCACGACATTCTAATTTATTGAGATGCACCTGTAAACAGTCAAATAGGCTCTAATGAGCTATTTTTAGATCCATTTGTGTCCATTTCTCTTGATGGAAGAGGCATCAGTCAAGGGGGACACTTGATCTCAGACTTGGCGTTTACTTTGATATAGAAACAATAATGATGAAGTCCAGACACTTGATACCGTGATAACAGATGTATTGTCAGCTTAAAGGGATAGTTCACCCAAAAATGAAAATTCTGTCATTAAGTAAAATAAATATTAATGATGTCCTTACTACTTTTCTGAGCCTTGAATGTAGTAATGACATTGCTGTCTATGCAGAGACAGAAAGATCTCGGATTTCATCCTAATATCTTAATTTGTGTTCTGAAGATGAACGAAGGTCTTACGGGTTTGGAACGACATGAGGGTGAGTAATTATGACAGAATTTCATTTTTGGGTGAACTATCCCTTTAATTATGTTAGTGCAGTATGTGGCGAGACTACATGGGTCAGATGGTGTGCGGTGGTAAAACTCACCCACCTTAGGTCCCTCTGGGCCGGGCAGCCCTGAAGAACCTGGTTTCCCAGGCAGACCCGGACGCCCAGTACGACCCTACAAAAACAAAGAGAAGAAATATTTGTGTGCTATTTTGCTTTTATACACCCACCTCAAACACAACCCAGCCAGATCTGGCAGTGCAGCTGAAGTGCTGAGTGTACAGAGCAGCTTTAATCAAAGACAAAGCACCTACTCAGCATCCCTGCCTCTCAGCAGTCCTCTTCATTCCTTTAATACATCAGCCTATCTAATCCTTCTGCTTCTTTTTGAGTGTGTTCCAGGTTCTTTACTCAAACACTCTCCTTTCTTTTTCTTTTAACACTAGAATCTATTTCTAGTCCCTACTGTATCTGTACTTTAAAATAACTTTATTTCTGGCCTTGTTTTCTAACAACAACATCTAAGCATTCTTAAATATATATACCCATGGTAAAATCATGGTAAAATCAGTGTAACAGATACAAATAAGTAACAACTCATAAAAAGGCAGAACCTGCATTATAATAAAATATACCAATGTTTACTGAAGAGCTACATTTATTGCAAGATAATATTAGATATTAATATTATAATACTAGTGAGCATAAGAGACTAATTTCAAAAACATTTAAAAAATCTTACTGAGCCCATCTTGAATTAATTGTATTTTCTTTACACATTTCCCTAACAAAAAATGCCAATAAACAAAAATAAAATGAAAATTAATTTATTCCAAAAAGATTTTTCTCTGATAAGAGATATTTTCTCTGATAACAAGTGTTTCATTTTATGCAGTTGTGGTTCTCAGGCAAATGTTTTTTATATTTTTAATGGAAATCAGAACAAAAAATCTGATTTAGAAAATTATTTTTGCAGTCTCCCATAAAACGTCCTGTGCTTCAGTCTCCTTCCCTCTTTTTGCTCGAGGAGCTTAAGAGTTCAGTGCAATTAAATAGCTGTGTGTGTGTTTTGACTGAGAGCAGCAGTGCAGGGCTGAGATTAATGTCTGAGTTCAGCACTAAGTAATATTACAGGGCAGAACTGCAGTGCACTGCAGCCAATGAAACAGCACATGGTCTGACACCCTGTAAAACTATTACATGCATCAAGAGAGCATGTCATAAACAGCATGGTCTGCAAAATGCAACCTGCCTCGTCATAAACAGAGATATTTTATATGACAGAAATGATATAAAAAAGATTTCTGCTCCATGTGCTCTATGAAGTCTGGAAGCCATCCCTGACTTTCTATCATTACCATTATGCATGCATTTGGTGCACAATAATGAATAAATACTTTAGAAGATCAAAGATGAGAATCTGACCTTTGACCCTGGTCTTCCGACGTCACCCTAAAGTGAAAAGAAGAACAGTTCAGTTTTATAAAAGACTTCAAAATTAACAGACCCATAAGCAACTGATTCCTCGTAACCAGATGTTAACCCATCTTACCTTATCTCCTTTGGGTCCCTCCATCCCTGGGATGCCACTGTGACCCTAAAACAAAGTAAAACCTATGAATTCATATATTTTGTTCTCCATCTCACTTAGTTGTCTGGGGAGGGACTTCGTTAACTCTTTGTGTGCCTTACCTGTGGTCCAACAGGTCCAGGAGGTCCTGGTGGTCCCGCCACACAGAGTTCCTTCACCTGCTCCCCATCCTCCTCTCTTACTCTCGTCCCCTCCACATGACTAGGCAAGGTCTTAAAAATAAACAACAACAGATAAATGGTGGGTTAACAGACATGCTGTCATTTCCTGCTGTTAGAATTATGTACACTAATATTATGTTACTCACAGGCTCTCTTTTCCAGACACCAGGAGGGGGCGGGAACAAAGGAGGGGGAGGCGGGGTCAGCAGACAACAAGGGTCAAATCTTTTCAAGATATCATTTGGATCCCGGTCTAAAAGAATAAACCACAAAACCAACCAGACGAGACAGAGACATTAATTATAATCAATAATCTTATTGGTCAAAATACTTGTGGAGAAATAGCACTGCAGTTTAGCTGCTTTAAAAAACTATATGAAAAATACACCTAATAGAAAATGGATACGTACGGATGAATGACAACATAGCCTATAGAATTCAACATAAGATCTGAACAAGACTTCATATCACTTGGGAAATATGAAGCCTGATAAAACATGCAACACCTTTAAGATGAAATATAGAACATGAATTAATCACAAGCTGATCTACACTAACTGTATAAATGACCAAGCATACATTTTATAAATGTCACGACAGCATAGACAATGTAAATATAGGAATAACAAGCGTTCAATATGTCATGTATTTTTAATAAGGTAATTTTAATCCCAATGTGCAACCAAATCCACACCTGCATATTAAAGATACATGCATACAATATGCATATAAAATATATGTAATGTAATAATGTCCAAAATAAAAAGTGGGGTAACATTATGACGTTTAATGAATAAAGATATTTATTATTTAATTGCACAGTTTCTAGGTCACTTATCAGCAAGTTAATTTACATTTACAGATTTTGCACAAGTTTTCATTCAAATTGTTATGCTGATAATATAATTTACAACTGAAAATTATTAATTAAAAAATAATTAAAAACCGAGAAAAGAATGTAAAACGTTTGGGCCCTATAATGCATGTATATGTAATATAATATAATATAATGTAATACATTTTATATATATATATTTTTAAATATATGCAATACATTGACCTGTCTGTCTATCTATCTGTCTAAAATTGTATATTTATATAAAAAGCTGCATACGTACGCAAACATATCACAAGCCACACGCTCTCATTATCACAAACTGATAATCCCTCACGCGCTCGCGCTCTCATACCTGTAGGAATCGGGAGGATATTTTCCAGATTGTACGGTGAAAGGTAGGCTGACACCGAGTACAGCAGAAACTGCAGCTGTATCCCAATCCTGCTCATGGCCATGTTCCTGTATGAGTGTGTCAAAAATACACAGATCTGAGTCGGTGTCCGCCCTCCTGTGCTCGAGCCCTCTCCCATCCAGTTTGAAATGCCAGCAGCTCTCTCTCTCACACACCCTATTTATTTTCTGATGTCTCGGTCTCGTCTGTCAGTGTGGCTGTGTTATTAAGTCGTAAGAATGCTTCCCACGGAGTCTGTGGGAATCTCCAGGCGCGACTGCTATTACAGTCAGGGATCTGACATCTGATCCGCCCTCTCCAGCCCCTCATGCCAAGATTAGACCCCCGGACTACCACTATACACTTAATACCACACGCCAACAAACTGACAGATATAATTCAGGACAAGAACGACTGTTTAAAAAAAACTGTACAAAAAGGTGCACCTGTCAATCATAAGACCATCACGTCCTAAAAATTAAATGTGAGAACATTTCCAAATTTTATTAGGTAGCAGCTAGGTCACTTGATTTGTAATTGTGTCTAGAAAACTGAGTAAACTTATTAGCACAATGTTTTGTTTTATGTACACTTCAGACCAAAAGTTTCGTTTTTTCCCTTTGCTCACCAAGGCTGCATTTATTTGTTCATAAATACTGTAAAATCAGGAATATTGTGAAATATTATCAAATTAAAAATGACTTATATTTAAATATATTTTAAAATGTAATTTATTCTTGTAAAGTTGAATTTTCAGCATCAAATTCCATTTCTCCTGTCTGCAGTGTCACATGATCCTTTAGAAATCATTCTGTTGATTTGCTGCTCAAGAACCATTACTTATTATTATCACCGTTGAACCCTTATAGTTACTGTGATATATTAAATATGCAATACAACTAAAAAATAAAATACTAAATGTTATTGAATACAGCCCAAATTTAATAGATTTTCAAATACATTTATTAAAGTTATACAAACACATTTGAACATAATCTTTTTTTTTAATACAACAAAGATTAATTATAATTCATATTCAACTGCCTATCTTAAAATGCCAGGACAAAGAGAGAAGTCATTACATTCAACACCTCTTGAGATTAAAATTATGCTTGTATTTTGGTTTTGCTATGTTTATGTTAATGTATGTTACTAATTAACTTGTTTCTTGTTTAGTCATCAACATAACTTTTCATGGTTAAGCGCAATTAGACATTTCAGAAACAAATACTTTGAAATATAAGCGATACTTTCAATATATGAAAAGTTACCCACTAAAATACTCACTTCCGCCAAGAGATATGAAACTTAAAACAAGTTTCTTGTAAGGATGTGCCTTGATTGACATCCACTAGAGCACAATAACACTTTCCAGTAAAACTGCACTTGATAATTTGCCACTTAATTTCAGTCTGCAGTTAATTCCAGAGAGCAACAGCAGGGAACCAAGAGATTATGTGCTGTTTTGAAACAGAATATAACTGAAGTTTTGTATTCAGTCATGACTACACCATATTGGCTGTCGTCTCATTGGCACAATAATCAAGCTTTACCTAATTAGGGGGAGGAATCAGATCCTATTAAAAACATGATATTAGCAAATTACACTACACACAATTAAATATTTTATAAAAAGGGAGTGGAGCAACAAAATATTGGTCCCAAGATAATATACAAATTCTACATTCTTTTTCATAAAAGTTCATTCAATTAAATAGTATAAAAGTCTACATTAAATAGACCATTTTCATGATGCAGCTGCAAAATAGATTCAGTGCATATTAACCTAGTGCATATGTAACAGCTCTCATAGCAAAACATTTTCATAGTAAACAAAACAATTTGTGTTTCCTGAAATGAAGTCGGTAAAAGCTACTCTAATCTGAGAAGTGGCACATCCTCAGCCACATCATGCTTTTATAAAGTGAAAGGCCACATAAGAACATAGTTAAAAACATAACTATCTCTGAAATTCTTTATTCTCCTCTCCTGAACTAACCTTTCAAATCTAATCTTTAATTTCCTGCTGCCATTTCAAGGCCACCACTGCTGAGAGTCATCAAAGGTCAACAGTGCAAACCTGTTGTCCACAGCACTGTCTGAAGACGTCGTTCCTCTGCTACTGTTGCCCCTCTTTCCTCCCCTATTGCCCCTCCCTCTCCCTTCATTGCCCCGTCCTCTCCCCCCCTGGCCCCTCCCTCTTTGCTGAGCCTGTCTCTGCCCCTCTCCTCGACCCCTGCTTGCTGTTGCTGATACTGCAGGACCTGTCAATGCCTCTAGCAGGATGGAGTAGAGCTGCCAAGCAACAGCGTCCCCTGCAAGCAGAGCCTCACACTGGTGACCCCCTCTTATGGCAGCCTCAAGACCATGCAGCAGAGTACCACTGAAAACCCTATGAGAAACACAGAGAGCAATATAATATGATATAACATATATACATAATATACTTAAAATACATATCAATTCTGTGCATTCTTAGTAAATCTGATAAACAAAGAGGGTGCTGATCAAGTTAAATCAGATAAATAAAGCGGATGCTCATATAATCTAATAAATATATTAGAAGCTCGCGATTATGGTAAGGGGCGTTACATTTCCGACGAGTGCTTGCGGTGTTCGGCCAATCACAATGCATTGGGTCAGCTGGCCAATCAGAGCAGTCTGCTCTGATTGGCCAATCACAATGCACTGGGTCAGTTGGCCAATCAGAGCAGACTGCGCTTGTCAAAGGAGGGGGCTTTGTAGAAAACGACGCGTTTGAGAGAGGCGGGGCATAGAGGACCTACAATAATGTACAGTATTTGAAAAATAATGTGTTTTTTGAACATTAAAGCATGTCAACATATTCTGTTACACCAAATACACAAAATAATGATCTTTGAAATAGCATCATATGACCCCTTTAAAGAACGTGACACGCACGTCTTCCGGAAATCCTGTACGCTTCAACCAATCAGAGGACGACTTCGAAACTCCTGAAGTGTTTCCAGCTAAGTGTGCCATATGCATCAGACGTTCAGCCAGCGGTCCAATACAAATATGATTATTAGTGTATTTTCCCCCCTATATACTGTGATAAATGAAGAAGGTGATAATTTGTTCAAGGCAGTAAAGATGAGAACTACGAAATATTTCACTGGGATCATTTTATGGCCATACCCTACCAGGCACATTGAGGTTCAGGTAATGGGAAACACAGTAGCTGGTTCAGGAACATCGCCACCCACATACAGGATTGCCATTGGCTGAGCAAATGGGCCACACCCAGATCTAGGCCCCTCCTTTGTCCTGGATTGACCCTCAGATGAGATAATCGCTGACATACAGAAGCAGAAGGTTTGCTGCCAAATAGTGGGTCTGTATGATAGAGAAAGCAAAACAATATGACTGAAGGTGATTAAATCTCTGAAAACTGAAGACGTCAAGTTAAGCAAATAAAGTTAATTCATATCATAATAGATTTTATCTACAATTTAGGTCAGTTTCTCAAATGATTTTTTCTGTGTGGCAAACCAAACACCTGCGACAGATGTTGAGTAAAAAAGGGGTCAGAGATACCATTAGGATGGGCCTTTCGCCAGCTGAGTTCCCCGTACACCAGTCCCAACAATATGGCCTGCAGAAGAGGCTGACTGGGCTTTGGTTTACAGTTATTCATCCAGAAATACGTCACACACACTGGAAGGCAAAGGTGAGGGGGTAATGGCTGTAAAACGTGGTCCATCACACCAAGTGTTCCCAACAACACTTGCAGCCTCATTTGTATAGGCGCCTTAAATAAAAAAACAAGAGGTAATTGGAGGAATATATATGCAGACAATATTTACATGCAGGAATTGTTTATCACCTTGTCAATTGCTGCGAGATCAAGCTGTGGCACACAGCTGGGTCGGTGAGCCTCCACTGTGTTTTTCTTGAGATTCAGTTCTTGTCTGTCATATTCATCAACACATGGGATGCCACACTGTTGTCCTCCTTTACCCTGAGATTGTCTTCCTCTTCCTCTCTGGTTGACTCCCTGTGGCGTCTGACTATCCTGTCTTGCCTTTTCAAGCCGAAGGCTGTAGGTAGTCTTTCGGATACTCAATGAGGTTGTATGACTGCTGGGCAGGTTACTATTCTCCACCTGCGCAACTAACAGAACCTTCTGGTGTACAAGCACATCCAAGACAAACGACGGCAGCTTACCTGATGCAACCATCCTTAAAAGCCATTCGGGTTGAGAAACCAGTGCTGCTGGGAGCCCCTGGGCATCTGGAAGTGCTGGTTGGGGACTTGAGAAGTACTGAGCCAAACTGCTTCTCTGAGGAAGCTGGTAGTCCTGCATTCCTGCAGAGAGCTGCATACGTAAGTTTCCTTTCCGTTGTTCACCCAAAATCTCCAGGACTTCCTCCAGAGCATCTACTGGGCTGGTAAACTGAGACAGCCAGATCAAAAAGCCCTCGATTCGAGGACTGGAACTACGTCCATACTTCCGACCGGAAGGTACTCTTTCGAGCTCCACACGGCTGAAGAAAATCTCGGTTATTTTAGCAGGTGTGTAGTCATTCCCGATGACAACAGCAAATAGAGGGAGGAGCTGCTTGTTCATGTGGTTGAAATGCGAGCAGAAGCGGTTCACTGTGAAATTGCGTGCAGGGATGTAGCGTTCCGTGGCCTTACCACTGACGTTATTCCATTGGAAGAATGAAAAAGGTAGGTAGCCACCTTTGAGGTCGAAGATGTAGAAGTCACTGTCGTTGGTCAGAACTGGACATCCCCAGTGCTTAGCAAGAGAGGCTATTTCAAAATCAGCTTCGTAAAATACATTGAACTAAAGGTACACCAAGCTCTGAAAGGGCCTGTATGAAGACTTCACGTGCAAACAGAGGGAGAGCAGAACCGTGAGATCCTCGGGAAAGAGCGTGAGCCTCTCGGATTTTGCTTTGGGCCCTTTCCTGTAGTGTCTTGAACTTCTTGTCCGTCTGGTCCATTCCGCCATCTAACACAACAAATGGCTGCACAGCACATTCTGAAAGTGCTGCAAAAAACTGTCGAACCAACACCACAAACGTCTCGTAGTCTCCACCCCGTGCTTGATCCAACCCAGAGTTGAAATATAATCGAAAACACAAACTACTCCCATCAATCACTAGGCGGCAGTCTCGCAGTCTCATATCTGTGAAGAACTGACAATTTCCTTCCACAAAACTTGTAAGTCCGTGAACCCCCATGATGCCACAGAAATGCTGCAAGGAAAACAGCAATGTTATTGCTTGTTTTTGCTGGAAATGTAATGAACCAATAAAATTATTTTTATGCATCCCCCCCATACTAAACGATCTAAAGAT